TTTTTTTTTGGCGACAGACTTATCCGTAGTTCTGAACATTTTCTCGATGTCAACAATGAATTATTCTAGCAAACCCGCGTGTTCCGGACAATATATGGATATGGATATTATGATATTTAGATATTTAGACAATTCTCATAATTTTTGCAAAAGGCTGTATACATACTAGTATATACACTGATGTATTGAGGGTGGGGAGGGAAAAGGGCCGGATTGCAACAAATACCCAGACACTCTTATTCTACACCTGTAGCCTGTACAGTAGCTACTACCCTCAGTAGCAGACATTTTTAGTCATTTGGTTGTCTTCCAAACTATAAAAATGTCTGCTACTGGGACTATGCAGCTGTGTAGTGACCACACAGATATTGAGTAAGTAGCCACAGATTGGTGATCCTTTGTTCTCAAAAAGACCAATGAAAGGCATACATTTATGATATTAAAATTATCAGAAGGGTTAGGAAGTAAAGTATGACAAGTCACTGAATTCCCTCCCCTGAGGAATTGCATTGAAAGGAGAAGCCAGGACTGAACTAGAGGCACCTCTGCTTAATTCTTATTTTACCATTCTTAATATCATTCATAATCATTAAAATGATTTTGTTTTTTTCAAGCAAAAAGTTTACAGTATTTTGGCATTCAATTACAAACTTATTTTGATATATTAAAAGAATTACAATATTTTGAAGGTTCATTAATTTTATTGTGRTCTATYTATTTACAATRCAGTCCTTGATAATGCTTACTGAAGGCTTCAATAAGTCTCCCTTTGAATCTTTATCAATATCACAGCCTTTTTTCATTGAGTAACCCAGGAAAATTTATGGTGTGGCAGTAGTAACAAACTTTGAGTGAGATCAAGGGATTTGAGAGGTGGTGTTAATGTAAGCTCAGCTTCTGTTGTTTCTCATTGCAGCTCTTGTCTCTTTTTCTCTCTCAAACAGCCTTTGATCTGTCCTCTGTAGAAAATCTTGTCTTTCAAGATACCTTAACAAATCAAGCAATTACTCAATAACAATTCCCAAAATAATAATAATTATAATATTGTTGAATCAATGATGTTATTGTAAAAGTTGAACAGGTTCTGAGGAAAAAGACAAACTTAAGTGACAAAAAAGCAAGGTTTAAGAAATACTGTTGAGCACACACAAAATCTAAAGTACATTTGTTGTAAATCAAAAATTACATACCCATTCTTGTTGAAGTTTTTCAAGTCGTCAGTTATTCCTGTTTCTGACTTGAAGCTTTCCCAGTCAAGCTTTGATTTCTCCTAAAAAACACAAAGAGTTTGCACCAGTAAGCCTGCGTCACATCTTGACAAACTACGGTGAAGTTCGTAGTTTGTCCAGGCGTGACGCAGGCTAGCATCAGTGAGTAAGGCCAATACAACAAGGATTTCAATAAAATGCCAGGTTATCTCTAAGGCAAAGACGTAATATTTTTGTGATACTCCATTATCAAATTATTCATTGATGTCTCACTCATCACTTAGCTTACTTAAGATGCATGTATCAAGCAAACACTCAAAGATAAAATCTTTATAGATCT